CAGGCCGACCCAGCAAACCAACCTACCCGATGTGTCGGCTCATGAGACCCATTGGGTCGTGTCGGGTCTGATCTATGGCCAAATCGGTTGGCTCAGGTTTAGGGTCGTTTTTTCGGCTCGAACCTTAATTTAACAACACTACTCTAACAACCATATAGTCGATTATTATAGATACTGCCTCAAGGTAGTACTTATCAAATTTGTATTTTGCCTATTTTTCTTGATAAGTACTAACAAATTTTTTTATAATATATATTTAAAAATCGTGGCCTAGTCGGTAAGAGCGTCGCTTACCAATCCGATAATTCTGGATTCGAATCCCAACAAAGATCATGTTTTTTATCTTATTTCAACTTGGTGGTTAGGAGCAGGACTCGACCACGTGATTCCGTTATAATGTATGTTAAATAATAAGAGTTTTACACATTTTAGTAAATTTAGGTCGGTATTTAGTAAATTAAGTTGGTATTATAAAATGGTTATATGTTGCCTTGGCAGTATCTATCATTAACCCATATAGTCATGATTTGGATTAGTAGTTTTTATTCTTTTTAAGAATCATTGATGTGGTTAGGCCTACAAATTATTCCTTATTAGTAAATTCTATAAAACATTGTCTAAAATGGTAAAACAACATTATAATAGTTTAATGACCTTTTGTCATTGTAGTTTGCTAAGAATTATATCGCCCTGTGTGGTTTTTAATAACCATTATCAATTGAGGTTAACCTTTTTTATCACTTGTAAATCTTTTGAACTTTTTTTGATATTCGCAATCGAAAATATTTAATATTGTTAAATGGATAAATATTATTTTGTATTAAAAAATATTATACTTAGAAATGTCTTGTATTGTTTTACTTTTATTATTTGTAACATAAAAAATGACAAAGCAAGAAATTCAGAGTTTGCCAATTTCAATTAAAAAAGTATATTTTAATATAAATCCCAGCCGAAGTTTAGCAAAATAGAGGATATGGTGGGAAAGGGGGGAATCCAAAGATCCCATATTTTTTTTAGTTGAACCCTCTGACTTGTAAAGGCTAATGACGTCCTTGTTAGTGGCTACACAATAAATTTTTACTTTAAAGAAATATTATTTTGCTTATAGTTTTGATTTTATTGTATCACATTCAGAAGTGTTGAATTTGGACCGATGGGTCCCACAGTCTGAGTGGGAATAATACAGTCCGTGATGGAGGGTCCGGGATGGTCGATGACGGGATCCAGGGGGCAGGGTTTTATAGATTTAGTCATGGATCACTCGGACAACGTAGTGGCCATAATATTTTCAAAGTTTATTAAACAATTTAAAGACGATGTTACAAAGTAAAAAAAAATCAAAATCATCCAATAATTAATCAATAAAAAATGTATATAAATTTCACAATCAAAAGAAAATAATTAATCAATGAGAAAAAGGTATTTTTCCAACCTTTATAATTTAACCAGTTTCAAATGCAATATAAAAATAAGGTAAAATATCAATTTCATAACAAAAAAAAGGAAGATGGGAAAACAAAAGAAGCAAGTAGAAAACAAAAACGTAAAGAGAAGAAATAAGTTATACGGGACAAGTGGGGAGATAGAACATAACAAGAAGGTTAACAAAATTTTCCCATAGATGAACTTCATTTAATGTGGGACGAGAATCTGAGTTCAGATTAGCCGATCATTCTTTAAATAGATATAAATTTAAGTAAAGATAAATGAAAATAAAAAAAACATATTTAAATTAAACTTATTTAATACAAAATTTTCATTGCTGTAACAGAGTTGAGAGGTTTATTATTTTTAATTCAATTAAAATTTTAAAATACGGATATATGTGAAAATTATTTTGTATTCAAAAATTTTATAAAAAAAGAAGTAAATTTAATTAGAAAATATATATTATAAAATTGTAAATTTATATTCATAAAAAACAATTCTAAAATAAAAATTTCCATGATTCACGGTAAATATATGTTCACACCAGTGTTGTTAAACGCTACTTTTAAAAGTAGCGCACTATCGCTACCGCTATCGTTTTCAAATGAGTAGCGCGCTATTAGCTACTTTTAAAAAAACGTAGCTAAAGCTACTTTTAAAAAACGTAGCTAAAGCTACTTTAAAAAACGTAGCTAAAGCTACTTTAAAAAAACGTAGCTAAAGCTACTTTTAAAAAAACGTAGCTAAAGCTACTTTAAAAAAACGTAGCTAAAGCTACTTTGATTTTTTTTAAATATTTTTTTTACGTAACTTTATTTCCACAAATAAAATATTTATATAAAAACATGACAATAAATTGTTACATATATATATAATTTATTTATTATTGCACTTTAATAATAATAACATTTCGGTACTGTCATCCCCAAGTCTAGAGCGATGATCAGAAAGTATAAGCTTTGCCATACTAAATAATCGTTCAGCACTAGCACTTGAGGGCAACGCAGTATTAAATTTAATAAACAAACTTTTTATATGAAAAAAATCATCAAAAATATTTAAATTAGTATTTTTAGATTTAAAAAAAGCATCTATAGGTTCAATATTATTATTATTTATTTCAAAAAAATCGTCTTTGGAAGGCTGCAGTTTCGATCTTGCTATAGTATCGTGGTTAGGCATGCCATTTTTTAACGTTACCATCAGCCTATCAAGTTGCCATTTAGATTCAGTCAAATTAATGTATGGCCAATTTAACTTGAAACTAGGATGAACGATAGCAGCTATTACATTATCATCATCATACAGATCTGGAAATCTAATTTATATAAAGTGACTGTATTTATTATAAAAAAAAGAAGAATACCATTTTAATTTTTAAAATTTAAATTTATCTGAGATTTAGATTCATTTATAAATAAAATATTAAAATAGCAATAAATTATGGTAAATAAAAATTTTAAAAATATAATTATTATACACAAGGTAATTAATAATATATTAATTTTGAATTTTATATTAATTAATAATTACTATATATTAATATTATAGATTGTGTTTTAAATTAAGCCAATTTAAATTATGGCTAATCAAGCAATAAATCATTCATTTTATATAATTGAATAATAGTAAATAAAAATAAAGTTTTGACCTTTTCTCAATGCCTTTTAGCACAGACTCTACCAGAGGTTGGCAAAATTTTAGATTATTGATTCTTTTGAGCTTGGTAATAATATACTCAGTGTGGGCACATAATATCCCATGCTAATATTATCTTGCCCTTCTAAGATTTTAAGTGAGGCAGCAACATATTGCATAACCTAAAAAATTAAAATGGTTAAATATAATATAATATTATTTATCATTATCCGTTATCATCTTACAAACCTTGTTTTGAATTTTGTAAGACCTATGGATTTCTGCAATAATATTGGCTAGAATGTCATAAGTCTGACAGCCAATTATTCTCTTTAGAGCTAACGCTACAGATTTTTGTTTAAGATTTTTAGGATCAATCTAATGTGCAGTTACTCCTAAATAAGCTCTAAAAATATGACATATTATAAATAAGAAAATAAACATTTTTACCTTCTATTGTGAGTCCAGCAATCTGCCGTTGTACAGACGTAGGAGACATCTGATAGATTTAATATCAAATATTCTTTCATTTCCTTAAAGCTCTCCAAAATTCTTGCCATCAATGTCTGCCGGCAAAATATCTTGGTCCGTGGAGAAAAAGTGTTTATCATCTTTATAAAAGAATCATTATCCACCAAGGATAATGGTTGAACTGTATTTATTATAAAGTTCATAATGACTTTGTCAGCCAATTTTTGGGATACACCAGGTGTTGATGAATCCAAATTGGTTAATTTTGTTTGTATTAAATTTGATTTGGAAGTGGGTTTATCTTCTTCCATTACCCCAAAACTTTTGAGATATTTTTCAATCTCTTTATAATTTGAAGTGTGCACAGTCTAAAATTATAAAATACTTGGAATAAAAATTATGTAGGAGATAAGTACATAAAAATGATTGAAATAACTATTTTAAATAATTTAGATAAAATTTATGAATATATAAAAAAAATGATTGGTTTTTTATTTTAATTTATTTTAAAAATTAAAGATTAGCCTACATATTGATATTAAATTTGTTTAATATATTACCTTTAAATGTTTTTTCAAATTAAAGCTGCTCGTATGATTTGAAGAGATAATTTTGCAGCACATCTTGCACCGAAACCGATATCCAGTATTAATTTTTTCTTCAAGGTTAAAGTATTTCTTGAATTTTGGGAAAGGATCATCTATATTTTGCTCATTTTCCAAAGAAATTACAATATCTTCAACAATCTCACACATAACAAGATTTATAATGCTTAATATAAAATGTAAAATGAAATATAAAATAAGATAAAAGCAAGGACATACCAATAACGGAATTTCAAAAATATATAATTTAATGAATACGCGAAATATAAATTAAATACAGATTGCTATTTAACAACTGTTTATATCTAATATATAACAATAATGTATATTTTTAAATATAAATTTCAAAATTAAATTAAATAAAAGGATTATAATTTTAGATTTTATAAAAAATATATTTTAATAATATTTAGATGTATTTATTATGTAAAATTGAAAGTAGCGAGCTACCGGCACTATAGCTACCGCTAATGAAAAAAGTAGTGCGGCGCTATTTTAACAACACTGGTTCACACCCAATCACGCCTCAATAATTTTGGAAAGGTCCATCATGCCTAATAATTTAAAAATTCCCACTCACGCCGTGATAGTGTCACGCGTAATTTCACTGCCCATACTCACCTCTAATCCAGTGATATCGAATGAATTTATATTTTCATCAATTTTTAATGTAAAATGATATTTTTAAAAATAAAATTGTATAAAATGATGGTGTTTTTATTTTCATCTTATTTGATGAATAATTAAATTTTATTTTGAAATTTTTTTTTTATAAGTTCCCTTATATTTTATATTTTCCCGGGGAAATTTCACCAAATCTTAACTTCCCTAAAATTTTCAGTATTTGCATAGCAATTTAAAGCAAGTAATTTATTTAAACATTTAACACATTATCATGAACAATAACTGTACATTTTTAAATCCAAATAAAAAGAATATATTGATAAGTCATGTTTAATCTTCATCACCATCTTGAGTTTTCGGTTCTCTTGGTGCTGGTCCACCGGCAGGTTTAGACATTATTATCTAAAAATATTAGGTGGAATAATTTATAATAATCTTTTTATTTTTAATAATAAAAATTATATTTTATTGAAATTCTTAATTATAATTAGTCTTCCTGGTGTGTTATGTCTAGTGTTGTTAATTTGCTTGGTCGTAAAATTTACAACCCTTTTATGTGCTCAGGCCGAACCGGGGTACCCGGGGTGGGGGGGGGTATATAAAATATTTTTTTATTGTAATAATAATAATCACTCATAGAGGGCAGGTCTAGGTCTTGGGGGGTCAGGAATATTTTTATCAACATAAAATATCGATATGGGTATCAAATAAAATCTAATTTAAATATCTTTAGATTAAAAGTATTCATTTTTTGTCTTGATGGGTATGACTTGGTCTGGGGGGGTTAAAGGGGGTGTCTAAAAAATATTTTTTTAGATATGGGTATCAGATAAAAGGTAAATAATTTTTTTTATTGAAATAATAATAACGGGTTAGGTTTTGAGGGGTCAGAATATTTTTATCAACACAAAATATCGATGTGGGTATCAAATAAATGCTAGTATAAATATCTCTTGATTGTAATAATTATACTCTGAGTAGGAGGGATGCCTTAGTTAGTCAGGAATATTTATATAAACACAAAATATTGATATAGGAATCAAGTAAATGGTATTTTAAATATCTTTTGGAGGGTAAAAAAATATTTTTTTAATATGGGCATTTAAATAGGTTACTAAAATATTTTTTATTGTAATAATAATTAAACTCTAAATGGTCTAGGTCTTGTAGGGCCAGGATATTTTTTATCAACACAAAATTTTAATATGACTATAAAATAGAAGCCAATTAAAATATTTTTCTACTAAAATAACAGTATTCACTCTTGGTCTCTTAATGGTAGTGTTGTTAATTGTTTGGTTGTGTAAAACCCAGACCCGGGGTTTGGGTCTAAAAAATCGACCAAACAAGCTCTGAGCATGAACTTTGAGCACAGACCCCGGTGTCCAGATAAATATTATTCTTTCAAATATTTCAAATAAAAAATATTTATCAATAATATCGAACTTAGATAGTAAAATCTTGCAAGCAACTCAGCTTATGGTTAGAAATTTTTTAATCGGGACCACTTAGGGCTTATAAATACAAAATAGGATTAAAATGAATTATTATGTAGGTTAGCTGAGAGATTATCTCCAGCTATACCATCATGATCCTAGTTAGAATTAGATACGAACTGAAATTTGTTTAATTTTATCAACTAGAGGACGAATATTTCATAATAATAAAATTAGGTATCTGTAGCTAATTTTTTGAATAAAATACCATGTTTTCTTATGTGATAAAAAATTAAATCATATATTTGCACATGATTTTAAAATCTAAAATATAGATGTGATATTAAAGCATCTAGTTTCTATAAACATAATCAAATATTTTTATTTTACAATAAAAATTCAATATAAAATTGATAAATTTAGATATATTTAAAAAAAAATTTCGTGGCTCAACCCGACCAGGCTGAAATTTTTTTAAAAGATATTAGGCCCGACCCAGCCCGAAGCTGATTATTTTTTAAAAAAATGCCCAGTCTCTAATGTATTATTCCAACATTCTCGTTGAAAACAGGTATAATTATGAAAATTATATTTTTTCCTTCTTTTAAAAAAATTTCGGAAGAAAAGGAAAACACATTGGTTTTTAATTATGATGTTCAAAACTCTTATTCTAATATCAAAAAAATATTCGTAATCGTAAATAACATCAGCATCGCTTTTCTTATAATTATATAAATAACCTTATTAAAACTGAAACAGAATATTATTATTAAATCAAAAACATAATATAATACTTAATTAATATTATATAATCATTTATTTTTAATTCTCAAAGATATTACATAATTAGAGGAAAATAGAAGTGAACAAGTCAAAGTAAAAATTATTATATTGAATATTTTTTATAAACAAATTACCACCCCCACCTAATTTACCATTTTAAAGTGAATGAAGTGAAACGAAACGCAATAAACGAGTATTATTATTGTTCTTAAATACAAAATAAAAGGGGGCAAACAAAATATTACATATTGAAATTAACCCATTACTGGTTAACGGTGCATATATATACACCACCTCCTGTATATCATTTTTAAACATAGTAGTTTTTATTTTAAAAAATAATAAAAAAGGTTTTTATATAGTTTAGACATTATACCTCAAAACTGGAAAAGAAAAATATGAAAATTTTTTTTTATGTCCCTAAGAAGCCCTCAAACATGGCGAATTTATGAGGTCTAAAATGCAAAGTCTTCTAAGTGATCTCACGAGCATATTATGAAATTATTTCGATGAAAACTAGTGTATATATTTTTTTTATAGATATATCAATATTTATCAATCATTTTTGAAATTTTAAATAATTAAAATTTTAATTGGTAGCCATATAAAGTTGACTGGTGCACATATGCACCGTTAACCATCTAGCAGTATAAATTATAATTTTTTTAATTATACTTATAACCATTACTAAGGAGGGGAGTGGGAGGTGGCTCGAGCCCCCTGAAAGTTTTGAAAAAAAATTTTATACTCAAAAAAAGGTATTTTGAAAATATTTGAGCCCCCTAAGAATCGAATAATATGTTTCTTTTATAATTTTTTATCTCGACCTAATTATATGAAATTATTCGCAAATATTAGGTTCATAAATATTCGAAAATTAAAATTATTCATAAAAATTTTAAATAAATTGTACCACATTTATTTTCTTATGCACCTGTTTTGTCAATTTAATCAAAATTATCAAAATAATAGATGACTAATTAAAAAATCAAGATTTTCTAAAATAAATATTTAATTAAAATTTTTAAATTAATCGTTTCTAAAATGACTTAACAAATAACGGAGTTTTACCTTCAGATACTGCTGGTGAATTTGAGATTCATAATTCAATTGATGACGACATTCCAGAACCATCTGCTACAAGAAGCTAATCTGTAATCGCCATTTAAAATGGAGAAAACAGATACGTTATATTCTACAATCCCTTTCAATGGGGAAAATGAAGAATAAAACTTGAAGACAATTTGCATAGTAAAAATCGATCAGATATATTTATTAATTTTCGGCGAAGACTTATATTCCCTAATTGTAGATCAAAGTAATATTTATGCAAAACAAATGAATATGTCTAATAATGTATAACCATCCCAGATATTAAGAGATTTATTGGAATTCTATTATTTACTAGATATCATTCGTCCCACAGTAAAAGATGTATTGTCTAATAATAGTGATATTTCTATTCCAATAATCCAGAATACAATGACCCAATTAAAATTACTAAATTTGAAATATAATATTCATTTACAGACAATACTAAAAACATATACATGATAGATTTTATAAATTTAGGCCTTACAAAACCAAATTATCATAAAATATATTTTGATAATTTCTATACCTTAATTAAACATTTTTCATACTTAAAACAAATGGGATATTTTACAACTGGAACTGTGAGGGATAATAGAATGGAGCATTGCCCAGTTGAATCTATAAATGCTGTAGCAAAAAAAGAAAGAGGATATTATGATTATAGGTTCAAAAAATTAAACGAAATATTTATAGTTCGTTAGAATTATAATATGGTGGTGACGAGGTATTCCAAGAAAATATCTTCTAAAATAAAAATTCCTCAACCAAATATGATCACTGCTTATAAAAAACACATGGATGGAGTTGATCTGTGTGATAATCCCATATCTACTAAAGAAAAAGAGGGAAAAAATGGCGGTGGCCAATATTCACAAATTTTATCGATATATCTTTGGTAAATTCGTGAAAAATTTGGAAATTCATGAATCGAGATTGCTTGCATTTAGGCGAGAAGTTACTACTTCATTTGACCACCAATAAAAATTGAAAAAAATTTAAGTATAAGGCACGCAAATCAGTTTGCATTACAGAGCGAAAACCCTACTGATTCATCTGGAAATTATTTATCCAAAATTATAGATGGAAAAAGACGTAACATTCAAAATATATGTGCCAAACATGTCAAATCACACTTCATACTAAATGTTTCAAGGGTTTTCATAATATATAAACATTTTCTCGTTTTTATTATAAATTACAAAAAAAGAATAAAGATTTCTATTGTTTTTTGATCTTATAGTATTATACCTAATTTTTATCTTTTTTAACCTCTCAACGGTGCAGATATGCCCCAGGCTAGATTTTCTATTTATGATTATTTTTTTCGGCTGATTTTTTTTAGAAAATCATATTTGAGCATTAATCAACATAATTTGAAAAAATTGAGCATTTTTATCAACTAGAAAAATCTTGACCATTAATGGGTTAAATAAAATAAAGATACATGTTTAAATAATAAAAAGATATTTATGTTGTAAATTTATAATTTGTGATGAAAATATCAAAGTACATCTCACATGCGTTTTTTTATATTATATTTTATAAAAATATTAAAATTTAGGAGAAAATGGTAAACCTCATAAGATATTCTTAATCTTTGATTCATCTATCAGCATTGCTGAGTTCGTTAAAAATGACGGGGAATGAGAATTTCCTCCTTACTTTTATAATAGTTGTTACTGGATATTTGAGAATAACATCCAATTTTTATTCGTTATAATCCTCTCCCCCCTTCAGGACAGGTTCAATCCATTAAAACTAAGTGTAAATTATGTCTTGAGTCAAAATATATTTAAAGCACTGATATATCAATATTATTTGTTAAAATATTACTGATCAACTAGACTAATATTTAATATTAAAAAAATTCCAAAGCAAAGTCCAAGGCCATATTAATTTTTAAAAAATTTCCCCAAGCCCAACCAAAAATCATAAGAATTTTAAAATACAATCAAAATCAAATTTTATGGGCCTTACTTTTTTGATAAAGCCGAGCCCAGGCCTGCAAAAATTTTTGTTTTAGGTCAATGTCTGATTCATAGTTAATAATAAAAAAATTGTAATAATTTTGAAAATATCTTGCCCAATATAATTTATAAAAAAATTTTCCAAGCCCAGTCCGACCCATTATAATTTAAAAAAATTTTTCTCAAACCTTCCATCGACAAATACAGCAGATAGAAATATTGTAATTCCTATTTTCAAAAATCATAGGATTTTCCACCCTGAGCTGAGCCTATTATTCTTTTCACCCAATATGATTATTATTACAAATTTAAATTTATTCTAAATATTACAATAGAAATAAATGGAGATTAAATTTAAGGCTGTTGTTAAATTACAATAAAAATAAATTATAAAATTTTATGAAAATTGCATGGGACTTGGTTTTTTGATCAGGCCTGGTTATGTCAGCAAAAAAAATTTCAGATAGATACTACTCAACGTATAGGGATTTTCTAAATAACGACCAAAATTCATTAAAATATAATAAGACCCTTGTTTATAAAAATAAATGATTTTAGATATAACTTTTTTAAAAAAAAATTTAACATTTTATTTTTGTTAAATATGCCATTTTATATCGGATCGGCAAATTTTATAATATTGGCCGATAACCGATATTTAAAATAGGTGAAATATCGTTTTACCCTCAAAAAGATATATAAAATACCATTTATTTGATTCCTATATCAATATTTTGTGTTTATATAAATATTCCTGACTAACTAAGACATTCCGCCTACTTAGAGTAAATTATTACAATCAAGAGATATTTATATTAGCTTTTATTTGATACCCACATCGATATTTTGTGTTGATAAAAATATTCCTGACCCCCCAAGACCTAGACCCGCCCTCTATGAGTGATTATTATTATTACAATAAAAAAATATTTTAAATACCTTTTATTTGATACCCATATCAAAAAAATTATTTTATACACCCCCCCCCCCCGGGTCTGGATTGGAGCCCGGGTCTGTGCTCAGAGCTGGTTTGGTCGATTTTTTAGACCCAAACCCCGGGTCTGGGTTTTACATAACCAACCAACACGTTATGTCACTCAAAAATATTCCCATCTCGTAATTAAATTTCACAGAAACTAAAAATACTAGGGATTATTTAAATAATATAATTTGTGACTCAAATATAAAATTTTTGAAAAAGATTTAAAACAAAATCACGATGTCCGTGATTTTCACTTTAATTAACCGGGTATTAAAATTTTTAATTATATTTAGGTATTAATAACAATCGTGCCTATTTTAAAAAGGGCCATTTAAATTCTAGTTTTTTAATTGATTAAACTCATATAATACATTTAATAGTAATAAATGTAACAATAAAATTCTAAAAAAATAAATATGTTTTGAGATGGTAGGTTGTAAACCTTATCAATGGATAATATCGTGTTAGAAGCTTGAGTAGCGTATTTAATAGCCCATTCTTTGACTATCAAGGGGTCTAATATTTCGTATTTGTGTGCATCTTTAATCATTGGAGTTCCTATCGACTAAATAATATTAAACCCAAAAAGTAAGATTTAGGCCTCAAACAGAATAAAGAAAATCATTAGTTTATCATATTTAAAAAAACAAAAAATCATTTTGATAATTATATCATACAAAAAATTGAATATGGTGGTTAAAAAATAAATAGATGTCAAACAATTTATTCATAAAATATAACTAAATGTAATTATGAATTTTAAAAAACCTCAATTTCAAATCCAAATGTTTTGTTTCCTTTTTGATGTTCAGCATTTAATAGAGAGATCAATTCCATAGCCTAAATGATAAAAATATGGACGAAATCAAATAATTGAGCAATTTATATAACTCATAACATGCTATCAGATTTTGTCGTTTATCTAGCTTGGTTATGATAATTTTTATAATTTAAAAAGTATCATTTTAAAAAGAGGTTTTCTCATTTATATTTGTCAGGTTAAATAACTACCTATTTTTTAAAAAAAGATTAATTTAGGAAGCGAGTAGCAAGAATATGGGTGGGGTAATATATTCTAGCATATTATAACACCTGAGATTGAAATCGGAATAAATCTGGGAATCGGAATGAAAATTGGAACTCGTTTCTTAAAATTTCTAGGAACTAGAATACAAATTTTTAGATTTTATCAAAAGTGCAATTAATTTTTATATTTTGTTCAAAATGTTGTGATATTTTATAGGGTTTTTATTTATTTATTAAATTTTTTAAATAGCTTCTTAACAGTATGGAATCGTAACCAGAGGTCTGCAATGAGCTGTTTTTTAAACCCCTATCTTGTTTTAAAAAAACTCACTCGTCTATCACATGTTTTTTTATATTCACCCACCTTCTCAATGTTTTAATTTTTTTTTATTGATTAAGATAACTTTTTATTTATTTTAATTTATGTATTTTTATTAAAACCTATAAAACATGCAATATTATGAAATAAAAAAATAATTTTTGATAAATATAAATCCCCCCAGCTCATTTCGCTAGAAATTTATTTTAAATTCATCGGCTTGCCTATTTTTAAAAAATATTTTTAACTCCCGCCCACGCTCCTTGGTAGTATTGGCGGGCAGGTTATAAAACTTGCCTATTGCAGATCCCTATTTGGAATCACGTCAAATTTAACCAGAGCCCATTTTTTTTAAATTTCATGAACCAGAACTAGAAGTTTGCACCTGGCGAATTTATAGCAGTTCCATGTATTTTTTCGGAAGAAATGAGCAAAATAGATGTATATTTATTAAAATGATTTTTTTATTTCATAATATTGCACATATTATATGTAAGTTAAAGTTTATTAAAATGAATAAGGAACTAGATCAACCAATAAAATATTTTAAACATGTAGTGGGCAGGCTAAACAAAATTTATATAAATGGGAAGGTGAGCGGCAGGCGTTTGATTTCAAAACTCCGGTAATATATATTTTTATTTCGATCTTAATGGTAATTTTTACATTTATTGAACGCGCTTCATAAACACTGAAGTTAGAGAATGTGGGAAAGTGTTCTATAAAAATTAATCATTTACCTTAACCCCCGCATTTTCAGCCAAGGCTTTTGGTATACTCAAAAACGATTCACCGTACTTTTTGATAGCATATTGTTGTAGGCCAGGACAGGTCTTAAACCAAAATTTGAAAATATAATATTGTAAATACATTAAAATTATAAGATTGTTATATTATTTAATTTTAAGAATCCAAATTTTTAATTTACAATTATAATATGCAAAATGTTTTATAAATTTGATTAAATTCCTTACCGTTATATATTTTTTCCCCTTAATATCCCTATAAGTTTCTATAAAATATAAACCTTATAACAGATCACTCAATAAAATTAGGAAAGGATTTTCTCGCCGAATTGGTAAATTATATTTAACGTTGATTGTTTACTAATTTTAGAAAATCTAGCTCTAACACGTGATTTGATAACACTCATTCCTAAATGTGACGTGAAAGTTCGTAACTAATTGAGCTAGGACGGGTTATTAGAAAAAAAATTCAACAAAAAACTTGACAAAATAATTAATAACAGTATTCTAATGATTCTTACAAGTAGTGTAGTTTCGCATTTTTAAAAATGAACATACTTCGTTTTATTAAAATTAGAATATAATAAAATTTTATGTATAGTATATGTAATAATTTGTACATCAGCATAATCTGATATTTCTAGTGCTAATTGAATTTCGGTAGCTCCTGCCCCTGGTAATACCCTTGGGTCCTGAAAAATAAAATTATAAATATATAATAATTTTCAAAAAAAATTTATCATAAAACATAATATATTATTATTATTTCATAAAATAATTTTAATTATTCATTTATTAGAAAACGTTTATATTTCACAATAGATACTAATATTTGTAAGAGTTTTTGAGGTACGGTTCCACCGGTGCAAAATTTTTTGGAAGAATAAGTAATAGTAATGTATTAGTATGGGATGAATCATTAATAAAAAATAATCATATTGATCAGGCAATTTTTTTTATTTAATCATTTCTTTATTTAAAGATTCATTAAATATCAATATTGATAGTAATCTGTAAGACTTACACTAAAGAATTTAAACTTAAATTCAGCCACCACTCACCCTTAAAGTAATTAAATTAACTGTATCTCGGGTATAGGCTTTTTTCCTGCCCAGCTCATTTTTAGTAAGCCTATAGAGGTTTAAGTAACATTTTTCGAAATGTTGCACCTACAAGTACGTTCGACGTGCCTACAAATGTGTGGAGGGCTCCTCATATTTTTACTTTTACAACCAAATTAAATTAGTTTCAATTAGATGTAAATGAGAAAAACCTAGTGTAGCTCTGTTGAACCTTCAACGCTAGAGGGCAAAAGGTCTATATATCACTTATTTCACAATAACAAAATGCAGAGACCTGCAGAGGTACCATTTGCATGGCCCGGATATTTTTTAAAAAAAAATTTTTTTGGGCCCAGCCAGGATTAAAAAAAAATTTTTTTTTAGGCCCAGCTCGGAAGTTTTTAAAATTATATTCAACCTGGTATATACAAAAAATTCACCTATTTGGTATTTTATCATATTTTTCGGCGAGTATTATCATTTAATAAGCAAGCATATTAGCTAATGTTGTTAAACGGCTCGTTTTGAGCCGATTTTTAGAAACGGTTAATTCAATATTTTCGCCAGAAAAATATTGACTAAGCCTCGAAATTTCAATACTATATGTCTAGACCATTGCTCCTTCTATGAGCAAAATTTTCAGGCTTGCGTAATATTTTTCTGGATAAAAAACTGAGTTAGCCGTTTTAAAAATCGGCTCAAAACGAGCCGTTTAACAACACTACTACATATAATAATGTATTTAATCCTTTGTGTATTTATTCCATGGCAGGAAAACTATAATTATATTATGTAATAGATACTATGAGTGTTAACTTTCACCCTACATTATATTAATCATTATAACCATATCTAATTGACAAATATAATATAATTCATATTGTATAAATTTTTTATGGCCCAGCCCAGCCTGGGTATTTTTTAAAAAAAATTCTCAGGCCCATATTTAAAAATTTAAAATACGGCCCGGCCCTGGTACACGGGCCTGCAGGTCTCTGACAAAATGAGTACAAATTAGAATAACATATTCCTGCCTTATTCCATCAGATATAAAAAAAAATTAAAAATAACCCTAGTCAATGCTTTATAGTTGTTGACCCCGTCGTCTATGACCCTTTCAATATCGTCCATCACGTTATCACTCGATCCTCTGAGGATTATGGTTACAAGTGATACATCTTTATTTTCTAAAAAAATTTACATATATATATACACAAAACAAGATGTTTATTAAAACTAACAATAATTTTATTGATACTCTCCTTAATGACATACAAAAAGTAAAATAAAGATTTAAAATTTTAATAAAGCATGATATTTTGAAGTCTCACTACATTACCAATAAAGAGCGGAAATTATTTATAAATAGAGAAGTACTTGTAATTGGCCGATTCTTTGAAAATCCAGAATATAAAAAATTTAAAAGTTTCTATTAATCTTTGTATATTAATTAGGCTCATCAAAAAATTATTCGTTATTTGTATTCGATCAGAAATTAACGAATCCAAATAATATTGAAAAAATTGAAGGAATAATAAAATAACATTATTTGTATTAAATTATCAGTAAATATTTAAATTATTTGTATCATGGTATTATCAAAATATTTAAATTATTGAGGCTGATTGCTCATTATCAATAATCATTTTTTATGGTAGTATTGATTTTGTTGATAGTGAGTGAGTGGATTAAAATTATCCATGAATTATAGGATACTAAAATCAAAACAAGCAACGAAAGTGAGACAATAAATATCTAACATATTAGGAAAAGCTTAATATTATAATTGTAAAAAAAAATATTTCATCATTTGAATTTTGACCCTTCTTTTTAATATATCTTTGAAAAAACTTAAAATCGAATTATTAGTATAAAAAATACGAAAAATACAATTTGTATATATATATAGAATAATTAAATCACATGAATACAAATTTAGAAATATATCTCATTATTCGATTAGTCTTTTTGGAGGTATAGTAAATTAGTAGTGTTTGTTAAGTCTTTTAAAATTTTCAGCTTCAACAAAATCAAATTGAAATGTTAGAAATCAGGGAATAGGAGGCCAATAAATTTCAAAATTATTTTATTATTACAAAAATCAAGATTATTTTATTTTAATTCCCAGCAACCTTTTTATATTACCATATTGTAGGTAAACTATTACATTTTAAACACTTATTAAAAATATTTAAAATCTAATGCAAACTATTAACCTTGATCAAATATAATAACGTTAGTCTCGCCTATCTCGTCTATGTAAACCTTATCACAGTGTCCCAATTGTTCAGAAGATGGTGCCGCCTTCATAAAAATAATTTTATAGGTATATAAAGATTCTATAATACCAGAGTAGGAATGACCCCAGCTCCAGTCATTTTGGCCACACGTCTTAAATCGAATTTTGATTGGAGCCTGATTACCATAATTTTGTATTTGTTGGCGAAATGAGAAGCCAAATCGCCAACCTTACCTCCTCCAGATACTATAACATTACAACCGCTACTAGCTATAGCCCTGAATTTCTGTGAAAAAAATAAATAACAAGGTTCTTTTATTTTCATTAATTTTAAGGAAAAAAATGATTGCAAATAAATCAAATAAATAAACATTGAATTGTTTGATTTTCTATATGATTTAAACTAGTAACTTTCGAGTTAGCTTACAATACATTTCAATTACTTACAAGTAGTGCTGTAAACGTTGTTTTATTCGTCATTTTTTAATTGTTTTATTAGTCACTTTTCAAATAATAAGCGAATCAATATCTTAGTAATTTAACTAATTTATTTTAAAATCCCAGAAAAATAACAATAATGATTTCTATCTTTACATTTTATAAAAAAAGTTTTTTAATTGATATGTTAAAAAATATAAAATTATATCACATATCTGCAACATGCCCACAATATTTAATAAAAAAGACAATTGTCATGGGAATGAATTGTAAATCGAATTTTAACTCGAATAAAAAGAATAGGAGTGTCGGAAATTTTTATTGTCATTATGAAGAAGTAAAAATTTTTAAATTGACCAATAATCTGAATAAAAAGTATTATTATAATAAAAAAAGTGGGAAATATCCATTGGAAATTTATAATAAAAAAATAAGTGATATTCAGAGGCCGTTAAATTAGTGTTGTTAAAGGGCTCGATTTGAGCCTATTTTTAAAAACGACTAACTCAATATTTTCGCCAGAAAAATATTTCCTAAGCCTCGAGATTTCACTAAGAGATGTCCAAACCTTTGTGTAATCTTGGAGCAAACTCGTTAGGCTAGCGTAATATTTTTCAGATAAAATATTGAGTTAGCGTTTTTAAAAATCGGCTCAAATCGAACCGTTTAACAACGCTACGTTTCAAATATAATGTATAATTCAGCCGATTAGAATGCATAAAATCCTAATAACTGAAAGAGATGAACAATGTTTATGCCCTCGTGTTAATTTGAGAATTGATAGGCAAAATGTTGAAATGTTGTTTGATACTGGTGCAAGCATTTCAATAATGTATAGGGAAACATAAATATTGGACTGAGGGTACACTCGAAAAAAAACCTCTTGTGTCATACAATTTAATGGGTCTGAAATAGCGGTTTTGGGTAAAACCAAATTGAGAGTCTCAATTATAAAACATTTGTTCTTGATTTATGGGTGGAAGAAAAAAAATGTTGAAACTATTATGGGGAAGATTGGATTAACAAACTTGGTCCTCGTAATAATTATTAGGATATTTTTATAATAGTGAATTGGCAATAGATAATGCTGAACGGAAAATAATTGGGATAGCATCAGAAATAAAATTCATTAAATAAGAAATGGCTGATGTATTGAGTAAGGAAGTGAATCCTCTCATTAATTCAATTTGTGAAATTTCTGACGAATAAATTGTTGAGCAGTGTAATTCTAAAAATAACATCGAAATTAATGAAAATCAAATTGATGAATAAAGTCCGTGAGGCTATACCTTTTTATTGAAAGAAAATATAGAAATTGGGGCAAGGTTTAAATGATTACACACAGTTATTGAATGTATATAAATAGTTTCTTATTCATTGCTGATTATATATTATTTATTGAAATAGCTTTATTTGATTAAATTCTTATTCACAGTTGTAATTACATTATGTTCTCGTTCTCAGTGAGAGAATTAGAAGGTGTAATGTGATTTGATATTTAATAAATCGGTGAGATATTTTAGATTCACCATGTGTTACACGATATCATTTAATATACCCTTTAGCATATCTTATTTTCTAATTGTTATTTTCGTTTTAAAAAATAGATGTGTGTTGTCTATTATAAGAATAATATTTTTTCTTTAAAAATTTTATTATATCCTCTCGAAATTAAATATCCTTAAAAATAAAATAATATATATCACATGGATTGTCTATTTCTCTCAAAATGTCTACAAAAGAAATATATTGTAAATTAGTATTATGATTAATAAAGTTATTCTTTTAAAAATTTTTTAAAAATTATATATAATAACTATTTTTTGAATTTATTTACTAGCTATTAAAAAAATGTGTGCTGTTTATAGCTATTTTTATAAAAAATTTATTGTAAAAAACAAAAGCAAAAATGTCATGTTATAAATTTAAAATAAGAACAATACCCAGTGAGTAAAATTTAATATTTACGTAAAATCAAATGTAAAGTGGATAAATTTAAATATTTATGTAAATCTGCCAATTTTAAAATAAATCGTGATACCAATATTCTGTAAGGCAATAAAAATTTAATAATTCAGATGTGGTGATAAATTTTAACTCACAAGGGCTAATTGATAAGATAGACACTAAGCTTATGAATGTCTGACATCGAATAAGAACATGAAGACCCGAAGACGACTGCCCCAGGAAAGTATGATGATGAACACAGATGAGAGGAATGAACCGAGAACAAAGACTCGGAAGAATGGTTATTGGAGGCAGAAAAAGAAAAAAAGTGCTCAAAATAGATCGAAATTTTTTTTTTGTGTAAAACAATTTTAATCAAATATGTTCTATAGAAACAAAAGTGTTATAGGCACAATAATTAGGAATCATAATAATTATTATATAAATTTGCATTATAATATAAATTGGTTCTGCGCATACCCTTGGACGTTAAGGGTGGGCATGTTGCAGATTCAAAGAATAATCCATTTTTGAAAAAGCTTAATAGATCATCTTCAAAAGAATCTTCATCAAAACTTTTTTTATCTCTAGAAAATAATCTGGTGTGTTGTTTTTTAAAGGAATCAAAGTTTTCCTTTTCTTTGTCAAGATATTTATCAAACTGGAAATAAGTTCAAGATTATTACCTTCGTTGACATATAATTTTACCCAGAGCTAATGCAGGTAAATTATTGTTGATAGCATATATTCATCTTTATAGATGTGTTAAAATCTATTGATAAATATTCAAAATATAAATTGTAAACTATATTTCAATAATATACCTTTTATCAATGAGGATTGCATTAATAAGTGGCTTACAAAACTTAAAATTAAGTTTTAATATATAAATAGTTATCATGGGAGAGTGAGATATCACAAATGTTCTAAAATCTAAAGAGCCGTAGCTAGGTTCCATAACAAATAAAATCATATATATATACATCATATTCTCACTAACCATATAATATATATATGAAGGAATTTCATTAAAATCTCTGCATTTTGATCACAAAATTCGAATTGGTCTCCATAATAAGATTATTAATTTCATAGATATAAAAAGAGTTCCATCTTATTATAACCGGTTAAATCAGATATCTTCCCATTTCCTTAAAAATGGCTGCACAGCTTGGAGACTGTCCATGTTTATTCTTAATTTTTTTTATTAGTATAAAAAATGTTTCATATTGGAGCCAGGGCAGGTTAAATCATCTTCATCTGAAGAAATATGTACAATTGGCAACATTTAAGATAAATTATAATATTAGATAAACAGAATGTAAATTCTTGTTTCAATAGTAATTAGATTAACAATCTTGACTATTTATCAAAGAAAATTTAAAATAAAAATGAAGGAGTTTGGTGATAGTTCTAACTTAAAATATTTATAAAATAAATAAAAATAAATTTATAATAATGTTTTTTCCATAAGGGAAAAAAATTACGAGTAACGTTTTGCATTACCGTTACTTAAAAAAAAGAAACGCACTTCTAGAAGAAGGTAACAAAAGGTCAGTTTTTAAACCCTACTATTAAAATTACCTCGCTATCCATTAAAAAAAAAGTAGCGCACTATTAGATATTATTTTTTTAAAGTAGCTTTGGCTACTTTTATATAAAAAAAATTAGGAATAAATTTGTTTTATCTTTTGAATATAGTTAGTTATTGATTATAAAAAATTTTATGTAAAAAGACTAAAATTAATGTAATAAAAAATAACTATTTATGATAATATTTATAATAAAATCATTTCTATACTATTATCTTTAAGTCTAGAGCGATGATCAGAAGTATAGGTTCCCCTTTACTAAATAATCTTCTAGTACTTGAGGGCAAGATTTTATATTCATACTGGCTAATAACCTATCAAGAATGACGGAGTTGAGGGGTAATTAGTTAGTTTGTGTATATGGTATTAAATATGCTTTATATTAAAATTTAGGAAAAGAAATAAAATTGTTGCAATGTAACCTGTGTGCCTTAAGGATATTAAAAATATCAAAATTTAAATTTGTGATAGGAATCATATTGAGTAAAATTAAAAATAACAATTAGACATTGGCCTGAAATTTTTTTTTTGCAGACACAGCTAGGCCTGATCAAAAAACCACGTCCCATGCAACTTTCACAAAATTTTGCCATTTATTCCTATTGTAATTTAATAATAATGTCTTAAATTTAATTTTATATTTAGAATAAAATTTAAATTTGTGGTAGAAATCATATTGAATAAAATTTAAGCTTGGAAATTTTTTAATTTTAAATATGGGGTAGACATTGGCTTTTAAATTTTTTTTGCAGACATAGCCAGGCCTGATCAAAAAACCAAGTCCCATGCAACTTTCATAAAATTTTGCCATTTATTTCTATATAACAATGTCTTATATTTAATTTTATATTCCATTTATTTCTAATGGGTAATTCCATGACAAATCGACCAGCGATTCGGCCGACCATCTCAAAAATGAAGGAAACTTGGCATATTAGTTATTTATGTTGTAAATGTTACTAAAATCAAAATTTTAGAGTGCTAGCTCAGCCAGATCCAAAGATATACGCCTTCAAAGTCGAAAATCGCGAAGGGCGTGATTTCATTAAATCTTGTTATTTTAAAAAATACTTAAGATAGAGTTACAAATTATATATCATTTTATAGCCCTTAAAATTTTACGTTGGAAAATATAAAAAAATTCTTATTTCCGGTAAAAATAAAAAATTAACATTGTTAGGAAGGGATTTTTTTTGGGTGTTAATATTCACTAAAAATGTTTATTACCTTTATATTAAACGATTTAATAAAAAATCTCAATAGCTATTTTTGTTTTTTTAATTTTATAGATGGCGTTATAATAAATTTTTTTTATAATACATAATTTTTAATAAAAATATAAATAGTATTGTGATTAAAATTAAAAATCAATTAAGTATAACCAAGAATGATGTCCTGGGGCGATATGTAAGCAGGCAGCCCATACAGATATTATTTTATTGACGCTATATTGTAAAATAAACGTTTTTTAAAATTTTATATTCAAACTATTATAATTTCGCGCTTATTAATAGAAATTCCTAAGGCCATAATTTGTAGATATATCCTTTCACTGTTGTGGATCTACTATCGTTATTATTTAAAAATTTATCAGCTTATTTTATTTTTTTTATTCCTATCATAGCTACCAATCAATCATCATATATTTCAAAACTTAAACATTTTTTACAACCAAATGAATTTATGATAATTTTTGATTTCTCTGAAAATTATGCATTATAATCCAAGACACTGTTCAATAATGTTATTGCAGTACATTTATACCAGACAAAAATGATAAAATTTTGGACTAATCAATTCAGCAAAAAGCCAAACAAAATATATTACTGCTCTGATGCATCAGCTGCACAATAAAAACAAATTTTTTTTATATATCTGTGTTATCATGAATCAGATTATGGTGTAGCAGCTGAATGGCCATTTTCAGCTACATATTATAGAAAAGGTCCATGTGACGGCCTTGGCGGAACATTAAAAAGATTAGCAACACGTCCAAGTCTTCAGCACTTCAATTCTGGACACATTTTAACGCTAGTTGATTTATATCAATTTGCAAAAAAACATGCCATCAGTAAATTTTACATATATAACCAACGAACAATACATACAAGAGATTAAACTACGAGAAAGATTCAATATAGTATGTCCCATTCCTGGAACTCTGTATTTCCTTTGAGTTTAAGTAAACTTAAATCAAAAATATATTCATATGCAGATCACTTTCAAATTAACAATATCTCAAATGCCGATAATGTGTCTTTAGCCGATATTAAAGGACTCGTAACATGTGTTTATGACGATTTTTGGTGGTTAGTCACAGTACTAAAAAAGAATGGAATTACCGAGGAGATATATATTTCCTTTTACATCTCCATGGACCATCACCATCCTTCTACCTCACAATTGCGGAAAAGATATGGTTACCCATTAATCAAATAATAAGTAGTAGATCCTATTACAGTGACAGGACGTACCTACAAATTATCGTCTCAAGAAATTCTATTAATAAGCACAAAAATGGGAATAGATTAAAACAAGAGGTATTTAATTTCATATTGTTTGTGTATAAAATTAAAATATGTTTATTTTACAATTTAATGTCCTAATAAAATAATATCTTTATGGGCTGCCTGCTTATATATCGCCCCATGACATCATTCTTGGTTATACTCAATTGATTTTTTAATTTTAATCACAATACTATTCATATTTTTATTAAAAATTATATATTATAAAAAAAATTTAATATAACGCCATCTATATTGCATTTTTTTATTTATAAAAATAATAAAAATTTAAATATAATTAAAAAAACAATATGGCTATCGAGATTTTTATTAAATCGTTTAATATAAAGGTAATAAACATTTTTATTAAATATTAACACCCAAAAAAATCCCTTCCTAACAATGTTAATTTTTAATCTTTACCGGAAATAAGAAAACCATTGAAATTTTTTAATTTTTTTTTATATTTTCCAACGTAAAATTTTTAAGGGGTGTAAAATGATATATAATTTGTGACTCTATCTTAAATATTTTTTAAAATAACAAGATTTAATGAAATCACACACTTCACGATTTTCGACTTTGAAGGCGTATATCTTTGGATCTGGTTGAGCTAGCACTCTAAAATTTTGATTTTATTAACATTTACAACATAAATAATTAACATGCCAAGTTTCATTCATTTTTGAGATGGTCGGCCGAAAATCTCGTTTTTTTGGTCGATTTGACGTGGAATCACCCTATTGTAATTTAATAATAATATCTTAAATTTAATTTTATATGTAGAATAAAATTTAAATTTATGATAGAAATTATATTGGGTAAAATTTAAAATAGATATGCTTGAAAATCTTTTAATTTTAAATATGGACCAGACATTGGCCTGAAATTTTTTTTCTCAAACCTGGCCAACCCATAATAATTTTGTAATTTTTTATTGTTGGGAAAATATTCTCAAGCCAGCCAAGCACCATAATAATTTGTTAATTGAGAACTGAAATAAAATATATAGGTCATAATTCATTTTAAAATAAAATCAGAATATGAAAGTTGCATGAGCTTGGTTTTAATCAGGCCTGGTGATTTCTGCAAAAAAAAATTTTCAGACCAATGTCTAGCCCATATTTAAAATTAAAAAATTTTCAAGCATTTCTATTTTTATATTTTACCCAATATGATTTCTATCACAAATCTAAATTTTATTCTAAATATAAAATTAAATTTAAGACATTATTATTAAATTACAATAGAAATAAATGGCAAAATTTTATGAAAGTTGCATGGGACTTAGTTTTTTGATCAGGCCTGGCTATGTCTGCATAAAAAATTTTCAGGCCAATGTATAACCCATATTCAAAATTAAAAAATCTTAAAGCTTCTCTATTTTAAATTTTATCCAACATGATTTCCATCACAAATTTAAATTTTGATATTTCTAATACATGCTCACGGTATACATTGCAACAATTTTACCTTTTTTTCTCCTAAATTTTAATATTTATATAAAAAATTTTAATAAAGTATATTTAGTACCATACGCACAAACTAAATAATTACCCTTCAACCCCATCAGCTAGTATGGTAATAAAGGCAAAATTTTAAAAATATCAGCTATTAATTAATAAATATATAATTAATATTTTAAATTTAAATATATTCAAGTTGGTGCATGCTTAAAACATTCGCCTTTGAAACGGGAGGTTTGTGGTTCGACTCTTGTAGAGATCAAAAAATTAACATTACACTATATAGTCTCCTTAAATTTTAAATACATTGGGAAAATACGAAAACGATGTTTTGATTATGGAGATTATATATGTTAGATTTTTATAAAAGAAAAAATATCAAAAATACTCATTTGAGTATTTTTAGATTTAAAACGTGTCTAGGGTATTTTCTATCTCTGACAACTCTGCTATTAGAGTATCTTTCATCACCTCAAAGTTGTCTGCTATCTTAATAATTAATGTCTGGCAACAAAAAATGTTGTACCAGGGGATAGTTTTAATCATTGTAAATGATGGATTATCAACCAATGATGGCTGAACTGCATCAATTATAAAATTGACAATGACTTTATCAGCCAATTTCTGAGAAATATTAGCATGTTCAATATTATTAATCAATTAGGTTTGAATTGAATTGGTCTCCTTTATACCAAAATTATTAAAATGTTTTTCTATCTCTTTAAACTGTTGGCATGAACATTCTTAAAAAGATATACTATTAGAATTTAAAAATGACAATTACCTTGAGTTTTTTTGAGGTTATAGTTACTAGATTTATTTTTTCTATATTTTAAATAAATAAATCTGTAGCCACCTTGTTTTACACATTAATTTGAAAATATTTTTCAAATTCTGGAAAAGGAAAATTTGTATTATTGTTATCAAAGCAATTTCTTCAGGGTACCTTCCACTTCATTAATATTATAATTGTCTTACTCACTAACATCGATTTTGATATTCATTTTCAATGACATTTTAAATAACTTATACCAAATGAGATGATTTAGGTTTATAATACAAATTTCAAAATTATGTAACCATAAAAATTATAATTAATTATGATATTATATTTAAATTTTCATGTTTATAGTTACATTCATTATATTTTTTTTAAAATAACTAAGTAGTGTGCTACTTTTCAAAAAAATAAATATATGTTAAAAAAGTAGGTTCTATTAGTTATAGCTGCCCAAAAAGATAGCGCGCTCAACTTTGTGAGGCGTTCCTTTTCTTCAAGAAAGGTAACGCCATTACTTTTGACTTTACTTTATAGCACTACAAGCAATCAACTTTTATCAAAATATGTCATATTGTCATCTGACCTTATAATGGGTAATTGATTTATAATATTCATTTTTTTGATAAAGAATGATAAAATATATTCCAAAACCAATAATTTAATTATTCGATAGGTCATTTCATATTTACATAGTGCTTTGTTAACAAAATTTTTTTTAAAAAAACTAATTTTAATATTTTTTTTAAAAATAAATAAATTGTAAACTTGTTCGAGTAAATTTTCTTCCCCTTTCGTGTAATTGAGCAGTTGATCAGCACTTTTTAGCAGCACTGTACCCTTTGTCTCTGTCTGGCCTTGGTCAATAGCACAAGAATAGAGGCCGATTTTAGCATTTTGAACACTAGTTATCTCGCTCTCGACCTTGATTTTAAAACACATGCCCCTCAGGATATATGATTGGGTTATAGCAGAGCCCTTTTGTCAAATTTTTGAGTGTTTTTTTTGTAAAGTTATTTTAAGAGAAATCAGTTGGGTCATGTCTAAAAATTCAAAAAAAACAAAAATCCTAAATTTTTTGAAATAAATGTATAATTTATCAATTGATCAGTTTAAAAATTACATGATGGACCATTTAACAATCATTTGCTTCTTGTATTTTTAATATCTATTTGAAAAATAGTCAAATTAAAAAATCCAGGCCTAAAGACAAAAAATATGGGCTGAGTCATAAAGTATTACCATAGTATAATGTTTTATAATTTTGACTTTGGGTCCCAGCCCATGTTAATATATTGCATAAGTTGAAAATAGTTCAATCTTTGGAAAATACAAATTAATGCCTCAAGGCATATCTAATGTTTTAAATTTACAATGTTTTTCGATTTTAATACTTTCCACATTTAAAGTACTTTAAATTTCTGGTCCATAAACTATGTGTAAGCAGAATATGCTGCACCTTAAATAATCATTTAAATATACTTACCAATATTTTGCAAACTCTTATGTTGTCAACGTTGAATGAATCTTTTTCTTTACTTTTAGCCATAACTTTAAAATAAAAAAATAATATTTTTATTTCTTGATATGATATAATCTAGTTATTATTTTAAAAATACAATAAAAAACTGAAAAACTTCGTGAAACATAAAAAACAAAAATATATGAATTATTTTTAATAAATTGTTATAATTTACTGCAGGCTTTAACTATCAGTGGAACTAGGACATCTTCATTACCATATTGCTTGCTCATGATACATGATTTTAGATATTTTATCATTTCTTTTTCATCTTCAAAATTTTTAACACTATCACATGTCATTCCTATATCATAAAATATTGCTAAATTTAAAAATATCTGCCAAGCATCTAAATGCTCTTAACCAAAAAATTGATTCATCTTGAATAAAAAAAATCCAACTGACAATAAAGGTCTGCAATGGGCAGACAAAATATTTTAAATTATTGGGAACATGTCTAAAAAAATTTCAAAATGGCAGACAGGTGCCCCTCCCAAATTATTTTTATTTATATTAGATATTGATGCATCGTTCTAGCTGAATTCTATTAAAAATAAGTCCAAATATTTTAACTTATGATATCATGATTAAGTGATTTCTTACAATATAATCATATTTACCCAAATTAAAAGTAATATGAGTATTATGGCAAGTCATCTTTAAAGGTTTTACTATCAATGAAAATATTTATTTTAATCTATATTAACTAAAATTATTTTAAAAGGTTCAGAGTTGTGTATTATGACAATTGTGACCTTTACAGGTGGTATATTATCATTGAAATTATATCGAAACATGCTCAAAATATTTATATTAGCCTATTTTACTAAAATTATTTTTAAGGTCCTGAGATGAGTATTATGACAATTATCACATTTATAAGTTTTCAAGTAAGAAATATGTTCAAAATATTTATTCTAGCCAATTTTAACCCTCTATTGCGTACATCATATTTGAATACACATGGTAAAAATTTTAATATAAATTTTTTTACAGTTTAATACACATGATGTATAATAGATACACATACATTTTATTTATTTCTATAGTTAATTTTGTCAAAAATGAAAGATAGCTATCAATATAAAAATTCTAAAATACCTAGTTTACAACTTTTATATAGTTACATTTTTTCCATTTTATAAATATGTCATTTCTCCTGTACAAATTTTTAAGGAACAGTAAGTTAGACATCCTATAAATAAAGGTAAAAGAAATGTTTTATGTATAAATAGATTGTTATATTCATTAATAATCTTTAAAATTTAAATTTATGAATTTGGGTTGATTATTTTTTCTTTATTTGCTATCTATAGTCAAAATGTACTGTATAGAAGATGGTTCTGATTCTAATCTTAGTGGCTCATCAGATGAGGAAATTCTTGATTCTAGATCAGCAGATGTTGATTCTAGTGGAAATGCATTTCAACTATTGGTACCACTACACATTCCAATTTTAAATTGTGTTTTGATAATTGGTTCTGTGGTATAGAACTTAAAATATTACTCATCAAAAATGGAGTATTGCTACAGTGAGAGCTAATAAAATTTATAATTCTCAGTTTCCAACAAAGAATTCTAAAGGATGGAACGTGGATTCACATAGGATCACGTAAATGATAAATCTTGATCAATGTATAGGCGAGATTTTGTAGCTTTAACAGTACCATTATTAACATTTAAAATTTGAATAGCACATACTCTGTAAATGTAACAAAAATATGAACGCCAGCATAAAAAACGAAATGAAAATTAATATAAATTTGTTTTATTACATTATTCATCAAATAATAAAATTATGTCTTAATTTTGTAATAGGTTTGAAATTGAAAAAATGATACTTTTTACATGCATTTTATATTTAAATACATACACTGATATTTTTTTTACGGTTTAAAAATTTTTTTTAAAATAATTATTTTTAGTTTATTAAAGCTGCAATTCAAGAGTGGAGACGGATCCGTTTTTTACATCCGTTCCGTCAAAAGTCAATCTCATTTAAAATGTTATATATTGATTTTCATTTTTAAAAATGTATAAGTAATGTTATAACGCTCTATAAAATTTGCTGGATCAAAAAGTCATGTTTTGACTTCAAAATTTGCCGGATCTGTTTTTAAGATGGAAGGTATTGGAACCAACGCACTATAAACATATATATCATTTTTAATGAGATTGACCTTTGACGGAACGGATGTAGAAAACGGATCCGTCTCCACTCTGAATGCAGCCTAAGAGGCCGTTAAAGACAAAAATAAGTTTTTTAAAAAAATTATACATTTATTGATGTCACACAATAGAAGGTTAATGGCTGAGTGGAGTATTATAACATTTGTCACTTTTCTAGTTAACATTAAATATTAATACATTAAAATTATGATAAAACATTTTTAAAAAATCATATACTTCTTATTCAAAAATATAAGGTATTATGACAATTGTCAAATTTACAGCTTAAAATTATTCAAAAAATATTTTATGATGGAAAATTTTTTTACAAGAATATTTTGGTAGATCAAAAAATAAAATATCATAACAGATTTCTCAAAAAAGACTTCTAAATCAAAAATCTTCTGAGCTATAATCAAATCATAAAAGTTTTTCTATATTTTACAAATCCCAATTTGCTCACAATCACAGAAGTTTTTATTTTCTCAAATATTTTTGATTTTCAAAAGGCAAAAATTTTGAAGATTTTTCAGCAAATCTTAAACTTTGGTTTAAATTGGTTTTAGTTGAAGAATTTTTTCTTTTAAATGAGCTTGCTCTCTGATCAGATAATAAAGATATATTTATAAAGAATTGAAATTGTTTTGTTCTATTCATAACGATTATTCAAATTATTATTTAATTTAAGCGACAAAATTAGTTAGCTCAGAACTAGAATGTTTGATTTTTTAGGCTTGAACCCTACGCATTATATTTTATGTCTAAGCTTGGCTTATAATTCACTTGTAGCGCTATAATAACTTTACACCTTTCATATATTTCATTTTTGACAACAAATTTTTATATTAATTAAATATTATTTATTAATAAACCTGGTAATATCTCCAGAGCCTTCTTTTTAGCCATGTTATATCCTTCTACAATATCAGCAGTGGCTAAACCCTTTTGTTTTTATGATTTTATTTTTTTCAAACTTCATAATTTGTATATTAATTGATGAGGATATTAAAAAACGTTGAAGGCGTATTTTAATATGACAAATTAGAAGAGATCTGTAAAACAAGACCCACCTGTCCAATAAACACTTTAAAAAAAATTATATGTGGCCAGGCAATTCATACATAAAAAAATTTTGACAGGGAAATTAGTACATAAAAAAAGTTTTAAGCTAGGCTGACAATTTATATATAAAAAATCAGACAAGGTTTCACAAATCTCTAATTTATCATATAATTTTAAAAGACTAGTATGGGAATCATTTTGAATTTCAAGCGAATATTTTAACATTGATTAATATTATTTGAAAATAAATTACAATATGCTTATTTCTTTGTATTAAAAAAGTTGTTTATCTAATATATTGTCTATAAATAATATAGTAAATGATAAAAGCTTAAAACAGTTTTATATGAAATATAGATATCAAGCATAATAATTAGTAAAATGGTTGTTATCAAAATAATGAAGGTCAGCAATCCAGTTCTATTGGCTTTAGACCAGGACCAATATTTTTTGAGGACCACCAGGAACCCAAACCTTTATTTATAACAGCTCAGTTTGGTTACAGTTCAGTATGCCCAAAATTATAATTGTTATGATTCTTAAGAAAAAATTTATAAAGTTTTGGTTTGTTTCAGCTAATTGTAAAGGTTCATTACAATTAAAAATTATTTTTATTGAAGCAACACCATCGTATAATGATTTTAATTATAAATATTATTTATTAAAATTTTTGAAACTAATAATATTGTTTATTAATAAAATAGTGAAATTAATTATTTTTATTATAAGTATCTATGAATAATATATAAAAAAATATATAAGAATCTTAACTCTTTTTCTAAATATATTATTTGAACCTATAAGTAATATATTTTAAAATATAAATGGATTCATATTTGTTTGTTGTGGTGATAAAACAAATTTTAGCCCCAAAAAAGCACTTTCAACGTAGAGAAAGCTGCACGTTATATAAGAGCAAGTTTATATAATTCTGGATATTCAATTTTTTTTGATTCCTAATATATAAAAATTAAATTTTTAGATTAATTAAATACAACTAAATCAAAAATTGGTTATTTAGATATTTTGCATACTAAAATATAGAAAATAGGAATGCTCATGAAGCAATGAAAAATTAATACATATTTCTTATGGATATTAAACAAATATTTTGATCATTTAATAATTATAAATAATCAGACAGATATGGTAAAATATGTAATACACCACAAGAAATAAAATGTAAAATTAATTATTTTATTTGGCTAAAACCGGTTTAACTTTATTTTACTCATTCAAAAAATAAATATATCGATTCAGTTATGGTTCAGATATTTGTAAAGGTTTATAATGGTTTTGTGGTTCATTCCATATCCATGAGGACCACACAATTATTTAGGTTTTAAATTAATAAATTTTTTTTGTATATTTTTATGTTATTTTTCTGAAATTATTTTCGTTTTTGTGAATTTTTATTTTGCAATATGAAAGCTGTAAGTTTGCTAAATAATCATTTCACTTATAGTCCCAAAAAAACAAGAATTAGTTAGGTAAAAACAAAAATATTTTGTCAATCTATTTATTTTTTTATGGTCTGGATTGATTTTTTTAAGATTGTGGTCCTATATAGTCTGGACCAAAGACCAGACCATGACCTTCACTAGAAATCAATGGCCATGAAGAGAGTTTACTAGGAAAAAAATAAGATATATATATTAAAAGCGTGATGAACAAAAAATTTGAGCAAGAGTAGACTTTTATTAAATTTTAACAGGACAGGTAAAATATTTAATTGGCCAGGTATTTATGCAAAATATCTTAATAGACAAGTCTTTGCATAGTTATACTAGTGTAGTTAAATTACTCGTTTTGAGCCGATTTTTAAAAATGGCTAACTCAATATTTTAGCCTGAAAAATATTGCTTAAGCCTCGAGATTTTGATAATATATGTATAGACCTTTGTTCCTTCTATGAGCAAAATCTAATGGTTTGCGTAATATTTTTCTGGATAAAATATTGAGTTAGCCGTTTTTAAAAATTGGCTCAAACAAGCCATTTAACAACACTAAGTTATACTCATCCTAGATGGCCTAGAACTCACTTTATTCCTTCTGATTATATTTTATCAAAGTCATTCTTCTATAATAAAAGCCACTAACTTTAAGAAATTGGGGGCATTATAATAATTCTATTTATATTTTTCCTAAGCCCTAATAATGACATAATTACTATCATTAATATATCCTTATTTTAGCTCTATATGTCTCCGCTAGCAGCCTTTATCAAGTATGCTAAACTGCCTTGAAGAACTGGCTGTTAGCAGCCATGGCTGCTCTAACTATATCTCTTTGTTAGTACACAAGAGTAATCCTTACATTACAGGTTCTAGAGTGAACTAACAAGTGTTCACCTTTGGCTTGAAAAAATTATTAATTTAAAAATGATATATGGTTATATACTCTTATGTTACAAATAAAATATATATTATAAAGTATATAATTATACAGATTTTATTAGTTCTTTAGCATTTTCTAACAAAGCACCTGCAAAAACTAAAACAAAATTTGTACCATCACCAACTTCTTCTTCTTGTATCTGAGATGCATACATTAAAATCTTAGCTGCTGGATTTTGTAGCTATAAAATATATTGCGTTAACTTAAGATAATTATTTAGATTTATTACTTCCATTTGATTCATAATAGCAGCAGCATCATTTGTAATAGAAATTTTTTCTAGGTGGTTTATAATCAACTTATTCATGCCTAATTATAAATTTAATATATATATATTAAATGACTACACCATTAGGTCCAAAAGAGGAAGCAAAGCTTTTAGTCATATTGGCACATGTTGAAATATTCATTAAGTGGTCATCAGCATCGTCCATATACTTTAAAAAAGAAATCATATGTAGTCAAAAAAATATCTAACCATAGTTCCTTCTTTCAACATTTGTAGAAGGCCTCCTGCAGACGGAATTTGCATCGAAGTCATATTCTGTAATTTTTAAAGATACTAGTATTTTTTTTAAAATGTGCTTTTAAAGTTGGGTGGTATAGATTGATAAAATATTTTTTTTTATAAAAAATAATTATTCTTTTAATTATTATGTGTATTTATATTTAAAATTTAGAACAAGGCATGGCGTGTAATTCTTAAATTAATTAGTAGGCTTTTAAAAAATAAAACTATTGATGAAACAATCAAGGCTGTTAGATCTTTCAAAAGAGACTCTTCCGGAGCTCTTGATGGCATTCGTGCTATCTTCATCCAAGACATTTTAAAACCCAACATTTCATGTAGAGCCCTTTTACAGAACCTTACGAAGTTACTAAATATAATTCTTAAAGGACCCTTTCCATCACATATCATATCTATTCTCTTTGGTGCACGCCTTATAGCCCTAAAAAAAAGGACGGAAGTATTGCCCAATTGCTGTTGGGTCGTTCTTCCGAAGGACTGTCTCTGAGATCATTGCTTCACGAATAAGGGAATCCCTTTTTTTATTCCTCTCGCCACTTCAACTAGGGTCTGGTGTTCCTGGAGACTGAAATTTCCGCTCACCTTGCTTAACTATTGCTAACAGTATTCCTGATGACGTGGATTTCAACAATGCATTTAATACAATAAAACGCCAACACTTCGTTCCCCTATTTTGCAACCAATATCCCGAATACTCTACTTACATCCTCCACAGCTATTCGAGCCATACTTTTTTAAAATTCAATAATCACATAATCGAATCTCAAGAGGGAATTTAACAAGGAGACCCCTTAGGTACAGCCCTCTTTTACAACGGGATCCACAAAATAATCCAGGAAATTTAATATAAATCTAACCTTACCATAAATTCCTGGTATCTTGATGACGGCATAGTCTCGGGCAACCTCTCCACAATCACGTCCACCCCCTCATCATTTAGAATCTCTCTCATATAACAGGACTATCTCTCAACCTTCCCAAATGTGAGATTTGCTTCCTAAATCCCAATTCTATCCCTTCAGACATGGCATATCACGTCATCAACAGAAACGAGATGACACACCTAAGATCACCTAAAGGAGGTGAAAAGGCCATTGAATCATATTTAAACAAATCCCTTATTTATCCAAATTAAATACATTATTTAATTACCTCCTACCCCATCAATCTTTTTTTTTAATAAAAAATTATTTCAACATACGTAAAATTCTTTACGCCCTGAGATCTTCTCCGATCTTTAAAAGCCGCGACTTTCTCGTTTCGCATGAAACCCATATTAAGGGTCTTCTTGAAAACATATGAAACCTTAAATTTTCCAATTCTTCTTGGCTTCAGGCTACCCTTCCCAGCAAGTCTGGTGGTATTGGTATCCGATTCCCGATACAACTTTCCCTCTCAGCCTTAATCTCATTTCGTCTTGCTGCTCAATCTATCAGCGATAATGGATCCACTCCTTTAGATGCTGACCTCTCTCAGGCCTTCAACTTTTGGGTCAGAACTGCTCACCCGACCTTTGTCGTCCCCCATCCAGCCTTCAAAAAGACTGGGATGCTCCTCTGATCGCCCGTTCCATTGAATACCTTATTTCGAACAAGCCCTTTGAGGACAATCTTAATAATTTAATAATATATGCAAGTTCAGGTTACGATGGGCTGGAAGCCATCCCCAGTTCCAATCGTGGCCTCCTCTTGACTGGCTAACAGCTATGCATTTCCATAGCCCTCCGCCTTGGCTGTAATGCTGTAGTTCCCTCCATTTGCATCGACTGCGGTCATCCAATCGAATCGAAAGTTTACCATTCCTTGCACTGCAAGTTCTCCCATGGACGACAACCGCCTCATAAATCTATTAACAACACTCTCCTAGTTGTTCTTAAAAAAGTTAATATTCCATCCACCCTCAAACCAGTGGGCCTCTCAAACAAAAGACTCCATTCCCTGGACGGTCTCCCTGTGTCAATTTTGCCTCCAAGTCCAACCTCTAATTTTTATCGAAAAAAGAAATCCTAAAAAAACAAATATGCTTGCCTCACCAACACCGGTTTATCCCAATCGTTACCAATACCCTAGGTATGTTCGGAAGTGATGCTCTCAATTTCATTAAAACCTTATGAAGGATTTTACATTCGTCAGCAGATTTCCCTTAAAATCTGCCGGTCCAATTTTTTAAGCATTCACTCTTCTCTAGGGTGATTTGAACCCTATTTTAGTTTTTTTTTTCTCAGTTCTTTTATATATTTTTTTTTAAATTCATCTTTAATATATGCTAATTTGTTTTTAAATATATGTTTTTAATTATAATTTGTAAAAGAAAAATTTGTGAAAAGAACTAAATTAAAAAATAAAAAAAAAATTTATCAGAAAAATATTAAGGATAATAATTTAAGATATTTTTTTCAAAACGTTTTATTTTCGATTTTTAGCATATTTAAGATAGGAATTAGCTAAAAATAAAAATCCATTTTCTCATCATTTCTTTACTATTATTAATAAAAAATATTATGAGGGATTTAATATACAGTAAAGTTAAACAGGCATTTATACACCCCCCCCCCCCCCCACCTTGAATTTATTACATTCATAATAATTCATTAGATATCTTAAAATGTTGTCCCTTTCTGTTAAAATTAAATTTCTAGTTTTAAATGTCATTGTGCAAATTATAAAATAAAGAATGTACCCGCATGCCATATATTTATACTGCGTATCGATAATTATATAAATAAAATCGTTGAATTTAGAAACAGCATTTGAAATATAAAACTTCACAAACTTTTTTAAATATAATTTTAGAAGGCATCGCGTTTCACGGTTCCTAATTATCCCAGTTTCGATGGTCAGACCGAGAGAATGGTTGCAGTAGTTAAATGTGGTTAAAAAAGGAAAAGTATGGTGAGGGTGAAAAATGGTTATCTCAATTGTTCTACAATAATAACAGAAGATTAGTCTCAGGCGGAAAGATTCCTGCAAGGAAAGACATTAATATGGAATCGCTAAATGAAGGAGGAAATGGAAAAGCCGGATACGTAGTGAAGTCTAATAAATCTTGCCTTGACTTAAAGTCAATGTTTTGACGTTTAAAAGAAAACTTAGATGGACGATTGAAAAGGTGGAAAAAATAATCGGCAATACGAAATACAAGGTTAAAGCGGAATTGTATATTGAAGCATCAAGATCAATTAGGTCTAGAGAGGAATGTTAAAGGAAGGGAGATGTTGTAATCATGATTATACGAGAGAGGGATATAGTGATTGATGTTAGAGGGTATCGCGTCATTACAGAGAAACTATTATAGGTTATAGAGAATGTCATTTATAGAGAAAGACGTATATAGAGAATGATTTTACAGATAATTTTATAGAGAATGATTTTATAGAGAATGATTTTATAGAGAATGATTTTTTATAGAGAATAATTTTACAGAGAACGATTTTATAGAGAATATTTTATAAAGAATGTATTTTATATAAAATAATTTTATAAGGAATTTTACTTAAAGAATATGATTAATTTATAAAAAAATGTTATATATAGTGATAGGGAAAAAAAGTTACAGTATTTGAGATAATTTTATATTATTATTACTTTATATAAGCGAGATTTTTCGATTTAAAGATAAGTCAAAATAAAATAGTGTTGTTAAAAGTTACTTTGGCAATGTTAAGCAACTAGTTAATTTAGTAGTAAATTTGGGAAAATATAACAAGTTACAGTTAATAGTTTTCTTTTTGTTAAATATAACTAGTCACTAGTTACAATTATTTTTAGTGGTTAGTAGATTCAGGGCTAGCCGGATCGATTAAATTACGTTAAATCGATTATATTTATATTAATTCATTGGCTAAGATTTAAATATTATAGTAAAAGAATGTAAAAAAAATTTACAAATTTAAATTTATTATTTAATTATATTCATTGAAATATATATAAAAATTAAGTAACTAGTTACTTTTGGCAGTTACTTTCTAAAAAATGTAGCCAGCTATAGATACGATTTTGTATGTAACTAGCTATAGATATATTTTAGAAAAAGTGTAGCTAGTTAATGGTAACTATTTAATTTGACAACACTAATGTAAAGATTTTCATTTATAAGTTTTTTTATCAGTAAAATTTATTTTAGTTCTTACTTATATTATTATTTTCCCTAAAAATTTTAAATTATAGATAAGACACACGGATAATCCATTCTTTAGTATAAAGTTATTTGTCACGAAGCGATGAACCTTAATCGTACAAAACCTCAATGTGGTATATCAAAATATTTTTATGACAGTAAAAGTGTTTATCAATTGAAAACAATCTATGTTATTCTATAAAAACGACATTCTCTATCTTTGTTTTCTCTATAAAAGGTTCTCTATAATTGTTTTCAATGTTTATCACTAAAAACCATTTTAGAATGTTTTAAGTAATAATTTAATAAAAAAAATTTTTTTAAATAATGGCTTAATTTATTTTAAGTAGTCGAAATAATCAGTTACTACTTCTTGATTTTTACCTATTTCAAAAATAAAAAAACATCTAACCAAACAACCTATTGGAGTTGTATTAAATTCCATGTGGATGAATGCAGTGGGCGTGCCAGAACTAATAACGGAATACCTACATTCCACAATCAAAAGCATAATCAAGTACCAGATATTGCAGATATTGAAGCAAGAAGAGAGCTAAATAGAATTAAACAAGAGACATCTAGTTCCCAATCTCTGCCTGTTATGTTATAGGAATTAATAAATTAAAATATTATATATTTTGGTTATTGAATAGTATTATGTTTTAATTTATGTAACGCGCATTCATTTAATTATGTTTATTCAAATTATATTTTTATTTTAGTTAACTTTTCGTTTTATAACTTAACCTTTTAATTTTATATTCTAATTTTAGTTTGTAAAAAATTATATAAATACAAGATTAAAAAAGTAATAAAATGAACATTTTTAAACATTCTTTAGTTTAAACAAGTGTCCCGAGGACTTCTTTCTTCACTGCCCAATAATATTTTGGCTGATATATCTAGCAATATATCCATAGCCCCCACTGGAAGAATGCCCAGTTGCTCCTTAATTAAAAGGACAATTCAAAGTAAAAACACGCCAAGTAGGAAGAGCACCTGCCGTTCCCATGAGTCTGATTGACTTAGTCATACCAATTGAATATCAATTATTCAATATGAGCAATTTTTATTATATGATAGTGGTCATCATGATCACCGATGTATCATATTTTCAACCATCAAAAATTTACAATTTTTATCAACATGCGATAAATTGTATGCAGATGGCACATTCAAGACATGTCCTCTTCTCTTCCAGCAAATATACATCATCCACGGGATGAAACATAAAACCATTATCCCCGCTATTTATGTTCTGATGGCATCACGTCGCCAACAAGATTATGTTATTATCTTTAATCAAATAAAAAATTTCCAATTTTTTTAAATCCGAAATTCATCATGATTGACTTTAAATTAGCAGCGTTATCTACTTTTAAACAGTCGTTTCTACTGACTGCAATGCGCGGATGCCTGTTTCATATGTCTCAATGCATATGGCGCATGGCTCAAAAAATAAGCTAATTTGCAATGCATACAAAACAGAAACAAATTTTGCCATGTACATAAAAATGTTAATGTGACTGGCATATGTACCAATTGAGGATGTAATTCATGAATTCGAGGAATTATGTGCCTCTGAAATTTATTAAGAAAATAGGGATATTCTCTCCCCCTTGATAGAATACTTTGAAGAGACGTGGATTGGAAAAATAATAGCGATGGAGAGGAAGTCGCCATTATTTAGCATTTCTATATGGAATTGCTCCAAATCGATATGAACCGAATACAAACAATTAAGTGGAGGGCTGGCATCCAAGTTTTTCGTCTCATATAAGTTCTAATCATCCAACGATCTGGATAAAAGAGTTAGTAATTATATTATATTATAAATTTTAACATTTTAATTTTAGCTCCCAAAGACGAAGATAGACTGAATTGTTACAAATTGGAACAATATTCTTTAGGACTATTGGCTCCACTGTCAAAGAAAGAATATCGCGAAAGATTCAAAAGGATTGTTCTAATTGTTGAAGATTTTGTTCTAGAACCATACTGGATTATTTAAGGGCTTTATCCCATAATTTAAATGTTTAATTTAATCATATAATTGTATTTATTGGTATATTATTTACACTATGTTTATTTGGATTTTTTATGAATAAAAATATATTTGATATTTTGAAATGAATAATGCTAAGCTCTTAGTATATTATTAAGGTTTATATTATAAAAACTTCATATACAAATTTTTTTTTAAAAAATTTTATTTTGATAATATTGATATTGGTATAATTTTAAAAAAATAATAAAACACTAAAATATTAAAACAAACAACTATATAAAAATATGTAAAAATATATAAAATTACTAAATAAAAATATATATAAATAGTATCGAAGGCTCTAAAAAGAGCTTAATTTAAAAATGAAAATGTACCTAAAAAACAGGTATAATTGTGTTTAAAAATTTCCAATTGAAGTTTTTGTTTAAGAAAAAGACTTCGCGATTTTCGTTTGTTATGCTAAAAAATTTTCGTGATAAAATTTTTAAAAAAAATATATGTAGACTGTGAAAAATTGCCGTTAATTGAAATGAATATTGGCTGAAATATAAAGTTATTTAATTTTGAATATTTATTATTTTTTTATTTTCCCTACAAGTAAGAGGGTTTGTATTAATTGATGAAGGAAAGGATGATACGCAGGTTTCATCCCAAATAATGGATTTCCCATTGGACTAGGGGGGTTAAGCCGTCGGGTCTGAGGCCGTCCTGTAATGAGAGGTTGGTAGGTTCAAAGATGTTGGGTATTTCAGCCTTATTAAAAGCGTTATGTATGATTTTATTAATTGCTTTATGCCGGAGATGGCGACCTTGGCTGAGTTTAGACCGTGTCTGGCGTTAGGTTGAACGAGTAGGCTGCATTGGTGGCACTGTAAGCGATCATCCAAGTCTAAAGCCTATAGTAACTCTCAGTTGGTCATTGATTAAGAGATTATCTAAGGTTCGGCTTGGAAGTGTTTCGAGCCATTCATGCCCGCCGTATTTATCGTTGTTTTGTAATAGTTGTATATCGCTGATTTCGGTAGGATTAAGACTATTTTGTAATTTTTTTATCAGAGGTTCGATGATAGATTTGTTAGAGATTTCGGTAGGAAATGTATAACCGTCTGGGGTTAGGAGATTCCATCTTTCAATTGCTGCTGAAAGAAGATCATCATGGGGAGTTATGAAATGAGATCGCAGAATTTAGCGATAGAAGATTTGATATAAATAGAGAAAAGGAAAGTAGTTCTAAGGGGATCAAGTCGATACCACCTAGTTTAGCGGCTAATAGGACTAGGTGCCAATTAAAGTCTGATAATGAAAGGTTGAGTATCCTTTCTATAAAGGTCTATAAGCCAATATTGTGTTGAATAAAAAAATTTGAGGTGGTGAATGAAGAGGATGAGTGGAAGAGATGTGAGATTTTGGGAAGATACAAACACTTTTTAATAAGTAAAAAAGCAGGTGCGATGGAATGTGGCTGATAAATTTTTCCAAGTTTTGCATCTCAGAAAAAGTTTTATATAATTTTTTCGGATATATTATTATTAATTAATGGGGAGCCCAAGAGTTTTATATATTCTTTTTCGATAATAGTGTATTCTTTAAATAAATCTAAGGGAATCTCGGGGTTGAGGAACCAAATTTCAGTTTTAGTTTTATTTAATTCTAAACCTATTTTAGAGCATTCTCTTTCGAGGTAATTAAGGGCTTTGCTTATTTTACGTAGATTACCGCAAAGGGTGCCATCATCAAGGTACCATAGGTTTAAGTCGAGATCAAAATCAAATTTAAAATCTTTCATCATATTGTGGATAGCTAAGCAGAAAAGAATAGGGCCGAAGGGGTCGCCCTGTTGTACTTCCTCTTCAGAGTATATAACTCTGCCATTAAAAATGAGGGGAGTGCTATTGTTATAGCAGATGTCTATGAAGCGCGAGTATTGGGTAATTTACACTAGATGGGATGTCTTTTATTGTTAATATTTTTTTAATAAAGATAAATTCTTCTAGTGATTTGTTATTTACTGGTATGTGTTTGGTATGGGGGTTCTATTAGTTTTGTGCAAAGTGTATTAGAAACTGAGCAAGGGAGGGCTGGAGGGCCATGTTTGTATAGATGCTCATCTTTTTTTATATTAATAGATTACTTTCATGCTAATGATGAGAAGGTTAATACCTGAGAAGTTTATTACTTTGAGTCTGAGGCAAAAACATTGGAGATCGGTTATTTGGCATGTTGGTATATAAGGGTTTTGATGTAGATGGAATCAGAATAATTAATTTATATAGTGCATATGAGGGTTGTATTTTTACTTCCAAGGTAATGTGTTGTTAGTAGTTTCAATTGAAAGTGAGCTTGTTATAAACTCTGAAGTTATAGGTGCAGGTGGTTTAAGAAAAATTATTTTTCAATCCTTAATGTAAGTATTGTCAAATTTGTTCTGAGTTGAGTTAGCGTATACAAATAGTATTAAACATATTCTTTAAGTCACATTGCCAAGGTAACTTTTAACAACACTATATATTTTATTTTGTATTCTTATCTTTAAAAATAAATTTCGTAAAATTCCTTACAAATCATGTCAAAATTTTTAATAATGGATAAGTGTGTCCTTCCAATCTATAATTGAAAATTTTTAGGAAGAATAATAATATTAGTGAGAACTAAATAAATCTTGCTGAAGATAAAAAAAGCTGATAAATGAAAATCTCTACATTAGTTTTGTCATTAAGTGGTTACCATTAACTAGCTACACTTTTGCTAAAAAATATTTAAAACTAGTTACATTTACAAAATCGTAACTGTAACTGGCTACAATTATTAGAAAGTAACTGCCAAAAGTAACTAGTTACGTAATTTAAATAAATATAATTAAATAATAAATTTAAATTTGTAAAAATATTTTATATTCTTTTACTATATGATTTAAATCTTAGCCAATGAATCTATATTAATTTAAATATATTCGATTTAAGGTAATTTAATCGATCCGGCTAGCCCTGAATATAATATCCACTAAAGATAATTGTAACTAGTGACTAGTTACATTTAAAAAAGAAAACTATTAACTGTAACTTGTTATATTTTCCCAAATTTAACTACTAACTTAACTAGTTGCTTTACATTGCCAAAGTAATTTTTAACAACACTATCTATTTTATTTTGTACTTATTTTTAAAAAATAAATTTCTTAAATTTCTTACAAATCATGTAAAATTTGATCTCCATTAATTTATCTAATAATCGAAAAACCTTGTGCAAAGATAAACAAATAATTTTCTGTACCGATTGTAATTATTCAAAAACTGCCCAATTATTCGCTTATATAAGATAAATCTAATATTTCATATTATGTCAAATACTGTAATTTTTTTTCCCTATGACTATATATAACATTTTTTATAAAATAATTATATTCTTAAATAAATTTCTTTAAATTCTCTATAAAATAATATTCTTTATAAAATAATACCCCATAAAATACATTCTTTATAAAATAATTCTTTATAAAATAATTCCCTATAAAATACAATCTTTATGAAATAATATTCTTATAAAATAATTCCCTATATAATACATTCTTTATTAAATAATTCTCTATAAAATAATTCCCTATAAAATACATTCTTTATAAAATAATTCTATAAAATACATTCATTATAAATAATTCTATATAAAATA